CCTTATCATTAGCCCCGCCCCCGGCCGCCTTGTTCCGCTGGTGGAAACGTGAAGTTTCCTGGTGAACAGCACCAATGTTTAAAATAATAAACCATGTTGTTCTAGATTAGCTTCTTTACAGTCATTGACGAAGCGATTCAGATTTTGTTTCCATCGAACAGAAAATCGTCTCTGCAGTTCAACGTTCGGATTCTCCAAAATAAAAGCCCTCAGCAGAACCAAACGCTCTGGACGTTTTCCATCCAGAGCAGATCATTAGATGTTCTCATACTGGGAAAGTTTCCTGCTGCTGGATAGAAGAAGAAATGTGGGTCAGAACTTCCCCAGCAATCAGAGATTCTCTTTATCCAGCAACTTATTAATTAACAACAAGCAACATGAAGAGCACAAACCAAACATCTCCAGAATGTAGTAACTACAAAACTACCAGCTTGTCTGTTTTCCTCACTGCTGGTGAATCTGATGCTCAGAACGTAAAATAATTCAGAAATCATGTGATCCGTTTCATCCGTTAGCATCGTGAAGCTTCATGTTTTTAATAATGAAATCATGTTTAATTCAACCAATCAGTGTTTTTCTGGTGGAAACCCAACAGCCCCCAGTTCCTTCAACTGGTTCTGCTGGGCAAGTGGATCCTTTAAAGGTCGGATCTGTTGAACATTTAGTGACTTTAGAGGCGTTTTCTGTCAGGAATCAGGCAGAAAGCAGCGGACTGAGCTGAACCATGAGGTCCAAATGCAAGATGGCCGCCGCGCCGCTCACCGAGCGTTTCCCTCCAGTTTGGCGTTTAAAGCACCCAAGTTCAGCCCTGCAACCCAATCAGATGAAGACCTCAATCCTGTTTAATAATTTATTAAATACATGTATTATTTTTAATGCAATAAAAATAAAGTAAGGAATGAGTTTAATTTAAATTTCTTCCTGACGTCCTGGTAGGAGCCGTGAACCGCGGTTGGTTTAGAAGCTAATTAAAAACGCTGCTTGAACAATAATTGAATAAATGTAAAATGATCAATTAAGCTGTTGGTTTAATTTAAAATCTCAGTGTGGAGCTAAACGTGCGTGTGTGTGCGTGTGTGTGTGTGTGGTGTGTGTGGTGTGGGTGTGTGTGTGGTGTGTGTGTGTGTGTGTGCGTGCGTGTGTGTGTGTGTGTGTGGGGGGGGTGGGGTGTGTGTGGTGGGGGTGGGGGGGGGAGGGGT